GGTGGATTGATAAAAGTTTCACACAATTGTTGAAGTTGTTGAAGGAGATGCTTCTAGAAGATAACACGTTACCTAATCGCAACTATGAAGCAAAAGAGATACTATGTTCAATGGGTTTGGAGCATAAGAAGATACACACGTGCCCTAATGATTGCGTATTGTATACAAATGATTTTGGTACATTGAAAGTGTATCCGACATGTGGATTGTCACGGTTAAAAAAGAAAACTGATAGAAATAGTGGTGAGAAAGAAATAGAGGGTCCCCCTACTAAGGTCTTATGGTATTTGTCAATAATACCTAGGTTTAAAAGATTGTTTGTCATTAAAGAGGATGCAAAAAACCTCACATGGCATGAAAATGATAGAAAATGTGACAAATTTCTTCGACATCTAGGTAATTCTCCGCAATGGAAGAGGATTCATGAAATATTTCCAGAATTTAGTGTAGAGTCAAGAAACCTGAGAATTGGTCTAACTACAGACGACATGAATCCTTATGGAAACTGAAGTAGTAAACACAGCTCATGGCCATTTTTGTTGGTCATTTACAATTTGCCTCCTTGGCTATGCATGAAGAGAAAATATATTATGTTGTCTATGATGATATCAGGACCCCGCCAACCAGGAATTGACATAGATGTGTATCTTAGTCCCTTGATTGATGACTTGAAAATGTTGTGGGAAATAGGAGTGGAGGTCTTTGATGCATACTATGAAGAAAAATTTACTTTGCGTGCTTTGCACAATAAATGATTTTCCAGCATATGGTATCATGAGCGGTTATAGTGTGAAGGTCCATTATACATGCCCTATATGTGAAGAAAATACAAGTTATACCCAATTGAAACATGGGCAGAAGACTGCATACACTAGGCATCGCAAGTTTCTAGTTCGTAGTCATTCATACCGTAGATTGAAGAAATCATTCAATGGATGTCAGGAGGATGAAATTGCCTCGACACCATGCAATGGTGAACGAGTATATGAGCGGGTGAAGAACATTAACATTGTGTTTAGAAAGACGCAAAAGAAGTCAACTGAGAAAAATATCTGGAAGAAACGATCAATATTCTTTAATCTTCCTTATTGGTACAAGCTAGATGTTAGACACTGTATAGATATGATGCATGTGGAGAAAAATGTTTGCGATAGTGTAATTGGGACATTGCTAAACATAAAAGGAAAGACAAAAGATGGAGTGAAAGCACGACAATATTTGGTGGACATATGTATACATTCTGAGTTACATCCACAGTCTATTGGAAAACGCACTTACTTGCCTCCAGCTTGTCATACTCTATCAAAAAAAGAAAAGAAAAGATTTTGTGAGTGCTTACACAGTGTGAAAGTTCCATAAGGGTACTCCTCAAATGTTAAGAGTCTAGTGTCTATTCAAGATTTGAAGTTAGTTGGTTTAAAGTCTCACGATTGTCATGTCTTAATGCAACAACTTTTAAGTGTGGCTATTCATAACATTTTACCATCTTCTGTTAGAGTTGTTATTACTCGATTGTGTTTATTCTTCAATGCCATTTGCAAGAAAGTAATTGACCTTCTAAAGTTAGATGAGTTAGAAAATGAAGCAATCACAATCTTGTGTCAATTGAAAATGTATTTTCCACCTTCATTTTTTGATATCATGGTGAATTTGATAGTTCATTTGGTTAGGGAGATTCGATTGTGTGGCCCAGTTTATCTTAGATGAATGTACCCTGTTGATAGATACATGAAGATCTTAAAAAGATATGTTAAGAATCAATATCAGCCAGAAGCTTCTATTGTGGAGAGGTACATTGCAGAAGAAGCCATTGAGTTTTATTCAGGGTACATGTCAAAATCAGAACCAATAGGAATTCCTAAGACTCGGCATGATGAGAAACATTTTGGTAAGGGTACTCAAAGTTTAAAGATTAGAAGTGTGAGTCGAAAAGAAGTTGACCAAGCACATTTGTACATATTGAACAACACCGATGAAGTAATTCCTTACATATCGCAACACATACATGAAATGAATATAACACACCCCCGAATGAATGAAAAATGAGTATTGAATGAACATAACAAGAGTTTCTTAGCTTGGTTTAAGAAAAAGGTTTACGGTGAGGTTAATGCTTCTGATACACTTTTGAGACTCACTCGTGGGCCTAACAACGATGTCATTACATTTGGTGGGTATGACATTAATAAATATTGTTTCTATACAAAGATAGAAGATGACAAAAGTAGAGTACAGAACAGTGAGGTTACAATTCAGGCTGAGTCTATGCACTTTGCTAAGTTCTAAATATAAAAATCTCATTACAGCATCCATGAGTTATTTTGGAGTCATACAAGACATATGGGAAATTGATTATGTTACGTTTAGAGTGCCTGTGTTCAAGTGTAAATGGGTTGATGGCAATACGGGTGTACAGACAGATGATTTAGGGTTTACTTTGGCTAATTTGAACAAGATTGGTTATAAGGATGAATCTTTTATTATGGCATATCAAGCAAGGAAGATTTTTTATGTCAGGGATCCTTGTAATGAGAAATGGTTAGTGGTCCTCGAAGGAAGAACCATGCACGGAACTCACGAAGACGAGTCTCTAGATATGCATGAGACACCATCTTTCTCAAGTACATCATTTGGTGCAATTGCGAACAATGAAGTGGAAGAAATGCATGCTATTCGAAGTGATCATGATGAAGGAATATGGGAAAACATACCAACCTAATAGGTTTGTGTTTGTGTATTATTCATTTTTTTATTAGTATATTGCACTTAAGTTAGTTGAACTTTATTTATCTATTTACTTTATTCATTTCGTAAATATATTTAATTTAATTTGATACTTTATTTTTATATTTACATTATTAGTTATTTTTTTGTTATATTGTTATTATCTTTTTTACTTTATTTGTATATTTAGTTAATTCATTGTTTTAATAATGATAGTGTTATTTTTTCAGGGTTATGGCAGATTTGGGGTCTGACAGTGTTAAGAGGGAAGGTAGATCTGTCACCTGATTGTCTGGGTTGACAGCGAGACGCATTGCCAAGATGAGGACACAGGTTGAGGTGGATCATCGCTCTGGCAAGGCATCAGGCCCAAATGTTGCAAAGTTTAGGAGCTATTTGGGAGTCGTCATAGCTTAACGTCATGTTTCTATTATCATTCCATCATGGGATGACGTTGAGGAGGCTGACAAGAACCTCATGTGGCAAGATATTCAGGTATATACTTGCACATCCCTTCAATATTATATAACTTAATTACGTTATTTATTATTTGTTGTTATTTTGATAGCAAAATTTTGACATTCTCAACACTGAGATCATGAGGAAGACGTTATCTACCCTTACCACCAGGTGGAGATACTTCACGACTTTCTTGACACAGGAGTATATCTTTGGAAAGCGACAAAATGAGACTCCCTGTCTAAAGTACCAGATTACTAACGAGGAGAGGATGCAATTTCATGCTACTCTATTGGACCCTTCTTGGCAGGTTAGTTATTGATAATTCTTCTTCGGAGGGTTGCGTTGCTTTCTTCTTCGCGTGTTGATGGAAATGGCTTAACAATACATCCATTTGTTTTTCTATGAGGTAGCATCTTCTATCAAGTTTGTGTTTTTTGAGATGTTTTTTTCATAATAATGTTTGTGTTGCATTTCGTGTTTTTGAAGCTGGAGAAGGAAGTGACAAAGTCTGGATTTGGAGAACCCATTCCTAGGTCTATCAAGCAGAACGGGCCGTACTGCTTGGAGAACGACCCGTTCTCTATGGAAAACGGGCCGTTCTCCAAGCAGAACGGGTCATTCTCTAAGCAGAACAGCCCGTTCTGCTTGCACTCATTTTTCTTTTCTTTGTTTTTTTTAAAATTTTTATGACTTTTTTACGTCGGACCTTGGCATGTTTGACGTATATTTACGTCGGTTTTTGTGCCCCGACGTAAATTTACGTCTCCCACTTCAATGTCGAAAGTTTTTCTGACGTAAAAACCCCTAAAATGACCGACGTAAAATGTGTATTGTGTACTAGTGTCATAAGCATTTTTCATTTTTTAAACCAATGAACTGTGTAGGCATTAACCATTGTCTACATTGAACGTGCATGCTCCCCTCAAAAAAAAAAACATTGAACGTGCATCACTGTTGCATAAAGCTAGAGCCGTCAAAGTGGGCAGGACCTGTGAGCCAACCCGGCCCACCTTGAAAACGGGCCGAGCCGGGCCAAAAAAATTGAAGTTTTATAGTAGGTGGGTATATTTCAACCCGGCCCACTTTGACCCGGCTCACCCGGGCTAAACCTGTGGTGGGCTAAGTAGCCCACCAACCCATTATTTCTTTTTTGCAATAAAAATTTAAGTATGATTTGTAGTTAATTTTGTATGATGGGATATTGAAAATTTTTATTTTAGACTTTTATCATGATTTGTATTTAATTTTGTACGATGAGTTATGACTTATGACTATTAATGATGTTAATTTTATGACTATTATGTTAATTTATAATTAATTTAAAATTTTGAATTTTATTGATATTTTTTTTATTTTTTGGTGGGCTGATGGGCTTGGCCCGTATAACTCACCAACTCGTGGTGGGCCGGGCCAGGCCAATTTTTTTTTTAGAAAATCAAAAGTGAGCCGAGTTGGGTTAACTCGTTTTTAAAGTGGGTCAAGGTAGACCGACCCATATAAACCAGACTGATCCGTTTTGACAGCTCTACGTAAAACGACTTTCGATCCATACATGGAACAGTCTAGTAAGTGATAATCATATAATGTTACAGCTTCGGCAATTTTGACCGAAAATTCCTCCTAATTAATTATGATTCATGTTTATAATTTTTTTAATTAAAAAAAAAGCTTTTTAATTAATCGAAAGATGATTCGGAACGAATTTTCGGAGGATATATCATTTTTCTAGTCGAGTAATGCTTCAAGTTTATTCCTTGTAAAAAAAAAATCATGCAAATTATGTCTTTGTCCTATGATTCTTTTCATATAAAAAATGATAATATAAAATTTATTCCTTGTACAAAAAATATAAAATAAAAAAGCCAAAAGAGTATTACATATAGTAGTTGTTTATGAAAGAGGGGAAAGGGAGGGAGGTGAAAACAATGTAAGGAGAAATTACCAGACAAGTTGAAAGCACTAGATGTCAAATTGTGACTAATATGTAGCTAACATATTAAAGTTTAGAAATATAGAAAAGAAAAGTAATAAGAGTTAAGTAGATGAGGTGTAGAGATGAGAAGAGAAGATGGATGATGGTTCAAGAAGTAAGATGAAGAGGAGAAGGTGAGGGAGAGTTGCGACAAACTGGGCATGTGGAGTTGATGCGAAGCCACTCGTCTATGCAGTGAGCGTGGAAGCAGTGGTTGCATTCAGGGATGCATCTTACTGTCTCTTTGCTATTGTACTCCGACAAGCATATCCAACAGCATCCATCGTTCGGTCCAGGAACTCGTCTACTCTCTCCAACCACTACCTTCTCGTAAGACTCAATCGTCCACTCGTCCAGACCCCTACTCACACTCTCTTCTTGCGGTAATGGTGATATTGTAGTTCCTGCAGACCTCGCAATAGCGTTGTTGCCATTGTTGTTCACTAGTCTGTCCTTGTAGCACACGCAGCATGCCATCACAATTGCAAAGACGGCTGCAGGTCCAGCTATGCATAATGTGATGATTCTAAAAACTTGGGATCCACCTTGTCGTGAACTTCCTGAAAATTCAATTTTACAACAATTAATATGCCCTCTACAAATTTAACTTATTTCTTCTTATTCTTTACTTGTTAAAACTCATTATCAAATCCTTTAAATGTTAGTAAGTCGAACACGTTATCCCTAAGCACGTTGGGGGTCTATTTCTGTTAATAGGCATATCACTATAGCACGTTCAATAATTAATTTCCATAGAATACCTGGTTGTATGTATGACTTCTAATATAACCAAGATGGTGGAGTTTTGGGGAAACAAGTTCTTTTTGGATTTATATACTAGCAATTAATTGGTCACATTGAACCGGAATATGCCATATGTGAGCAGACATAGTTCACCATATCTGTAATCATGTTGATATAAAGAACAAGGGTAGAATCCAATAAGCACGTCAAATATAAGCTAATGAGACAATACCATAAGGGAAGGCAAAATTTAGAGTTTGTTTAGTTTGAGAAAATGTTTTCTTTTTGTTTCTGTTTTTATTAAATATATAATATTATTTTATTTCGACTTATTTCTAGTTTTTTAAATATTTGATGACATTATTATAATTATTTATAGAAATAAGAAATTATTTTTATCAAATTAAATAAGTACTCAGAAAATGTTTTCAAACTCAAATATGAAATATTTTTAAACTAGTAATAAAGGGTCCTAAATATGATAAATAAATAAATTAAAAAAAAAACATGGGTCCTAAATTTTTCATTACCCAAAAAAGTAGTAATAAAGGGTAAAATGAAGAATCAAAAAAGGGTAAAATAAATTTCAATCTAGCACCCTCTATTACACGTCACTTGCTAACCATGTCAACAATTTAAATATTAGTACTATATTAGCATTCCATGAACATTGAATTGGATTTAAGAATTCCTGGAGTAATGTGACATAATTAAGATAAAGTTGTTTTAATTCACTCTAAAATCTAACGAGTACCGACTACCGAGTAATTCAATAAAAAGGAAAGGCGTACCACACATCTGCCTAGTGCCTTATAAGGGAAGATAATTTGACCTTTGCATTAGATATATATGCACACATTACTGTAGTCTTGCCTTGTTTTGCATTAATTTTTAATTTAATGCTAACTTATTGCAAATAAATAATGAAGTCAATAGTTATAAATTATAAACAAATAAAAGAAAATTACATAGTTATCGTGAATACCGACGTAAAATCATTGACCAACATTTTTCTAATAATTCCCTGTAACTTCATAATGGGGCCACCTATGATAGACAGCTCCTGTGATAATATCACTTTAGTTATTATCAGTTTTTCTTTTGTTCCTTTTAGGTCATCATCTAGAGTTTCTGAATACATGCCTTATGGATTTTAATTTATGAAAATGCATATAGAAGATAGAAGAACATATTTACCTGTTTGGTAAGAGAAACATAAAAGCTGATTATTATTGTTTCGATCAACCCCACACAATTGCTGTCGTGATTCACAATAACTGCAGTTAGGTCTATCCCATGTTAATCGAAGATCTTCACTAAGCTCGTCTCTGAGATTCTGCTCATACTGCTGCTCTGGCCTTGCAACTGAGGCCGAAAGCCTTGTAATAACATGGCAAGACTCAGGCAATGGATTGGTCAAGTTTAGTGAAGAGACAGCTGATACAAAATTTGTGGAATTGCTGAGGCAGTCAATGGGAATGAATTGTGACCCTGCGTTCTGAAATGGGCAGCTTAAGATGGTGTAGTTACGAGTGAAAATGGGAATAAAAGGAGAACCGGAGACATTGAGGCTCAGAAGACGTTTGGCGAGGCAATCATCAGGGTCGTAGACTTGTATCTTTTGGGTGAGGTAGTTAATGTTGCGCACATAGAACTCACCAGAGTAAGGAAGTTTTAGCACTGTTTTGCTATTATTCGTACAAATTAAGTTAAAACCAGGATAGCCACAATAAGGATATTGCTCATCAGCTACTTGAAAGGGAAAACGAATAATGCTATTGTTGCCACAGAAAGAAAATTGGCAATCATTTGAGGCATATATGAAAGGAAAGATGAAGAAGGGAAAAACGACTTCCAAGATGCCCATTATTTTTCAGATGAGCAAGTCTGCGGTGGGAAGGGACGGACTAGGTTATAAGAAGAAGAAACCGTATTTTAATCTTAAAGTCTGTCTAATTTTAAAAGCAATCTTGAAAGTCATATTGTATAATATATTGGTATAGTGTAATAAACTTATAGAGATATATAGAAGGTATGACTTTAAGAACATGACAATATAATTCTTGTTCTTGTCATATCAGCCTTATGGGGGGAGAATATTCAAAATCTTCAGTTTCTCACCAATGATCATAAAGTACTATTCGGATTCCATTAGTTTATTTCCAGCACACTGCATTGGTGATGTATCAAGGACTCCACTCCAGGATACTTTCTATACCATAGAATAGAATGCTTGGTCATCACCATTTTTCAACTTTTCATCCGGAAATACTATTTGTCATTATCTTTGAATGTGTAAACCAGAGCTACATTAGGGAAATTAATGGATTATACAATAATTGTTTTCGACATCCAAGAGTGTAGTCTTGTATAATAATGCCAAGAAGACATTCTAAAAGCTAGGAAAGAACTATCAAATCCCAGCCCCTCTCAAAGACAGACAGGTTAGAGACAAATCACAGTAGCTGTTGAGAGATTCTAATAGAAACAACTTCTCCATCAGTTCCTGCCCTCATAGCATGGTATTTCACGTGAAGACCTGCTTGCATTGAAAGAAATAATAGTTAGGAAAATATTGGAAAACAGAGTAATTGTATAAGGACAATCAATTGGGACAGAATTGAAGAACTTTAATAGTCAAGCTTAAGCAAAGCAAAGATGTAAAAATGAGTTACTTCACTGACCAGTGAAATTGCTAAGGATAGTCTAAACAAGAAATCTGGCATTCAAGTTTGCGAGATTCTTTCAAATAATTGATACACGAACACGGAAGCTGTAAAGAAGAATGCTTCTTACCTTCGTTTTCTTGTAAGTTAGTGTTCACAGCTACGGCATGGAAAGCAATCATGGCCTTGGGTTGCCAATCATTTGATCTCCCAATCCATGACTTGTAATCAAATACCGCTGACATTTAATTTGGAAATGAAAACAGATTGTTTTGTTTTAGTGCCATGACTTAACTATCTTATATAAAATGGTTGGGCAATAAAAAGAATTAGAACATGAAAGTTGATTGGAAGTATCAAGAATCAAGATTTACCCGACGTTGAAGAATCCTCCAGGTGTTTAATGTCAAAAATGGCGCCAGCTGCCCCATCTGCTCGTTTTTTGATATCTTGAGATCCTACAAGCTGGTAGTCCCAGCTCCCATTTCGGTAGCCTTCACAGAGGAATAGTTCTATGTGCCTTGCATCTAACGTCTGCATTGTTCCTATATAAGTAGGAGAAACCTGTCAATTTAAGTTTAATCTAGCTTCACTCTACTTACAAATCCTTCCTGTACAACACAGTGATCAGTGATGTATATTCACGGCAGTATTATATGTCTTGTCCAAATTAGAAGGCAAGCAATCTCAGTACAAAGGGATAGGGATATGCAGGGCTCTTCGGATTGTATTCAAATTACCATCGCACGTATTGAGGTCACAAACCGGGCATCTTACAAGCTGCAGGTCTGAAAAATTAACCATGTCAAATAAATGAAGTTAATTAAACATAACTGAGATAAAATGGTGACATAATTCATTTCAAGGATAATCCTAGAGTAAAAGTTAACTTGGGAGTTACCAGCTATCCAGATTCCAGATTTAACATTATCTAACACGCAACAACCTAGAGACCGTAACATTTTTTCCATGGTTTCTCCTTTCCGTATCTTCCCCGGAAAAGTCAGTCTCTCTGTCAGGACGGCTACAGAAGAATCAAAAGAAAAGGCGCCAATACGCATCCAATCTGACGGTACATAGTATTAAAAAAAACAGTTACTATTACATCATCACTATAACCTTCTAAGTCTACGATGTTAAAGCTGCAGATATTGCCAGTAAATCATTTTCAGTCAAGCGGACTGTGTTTTAGTTCAACAATATATGCACTATATAAGAAGGAATCAGTCAGTGGTCGGATAAAATGTAAAAGATCTACACCACGAATTTGCATCATAGCTAAACAATCAGAGACAGGGACGACGAATAGGTTTGCTAGAAGTGGTTAGTGGTCAGCTCAAGGAAATTCCATTCACAAGGAATTTTCTGCTTGAGTTCATTGTTCCATGATATTATTGACAACAACAATAATTGGGTGGGATCCATTAATATTATTTTAACTTTGCATTTTTACAATACTTATTTATCTATTTATACTCTTATCTTTAAATTCTTTCACATATTTTTTTTTATCTCTCTTGATATATAGAAGCTATAGTGAAATTATTAAGTAAAAAATAATGCTAGTCTAAAATTTATTATGAACTTTACATATATAGGAATGTGGGTGCTGTAGTAATTTTACGTGGGATATGATAAAATTTAGAGTGAATTTAGCGTGCTACATATTCGTAACTCAAACTTAAACTGATTAAGTTAAAATAATCTTGAAAGAATCCATACATGAGTTTAAGTGATATTTCATGAGTATTTAATACGGTGCAAAATCAAACTCGAAACTGATTAAGTTAAAATAGTCTAGTAAGAATTAATCCACTTATTTTTTTAGTGATTTTTAATTAGTTAGAGTGTGACAGTGTTTAGGCTAGTTAAGAAAATTCAAACCTCTAATTTCATTGTATAAAAAAATGAAAGAAAAAAAAAAAAAGGGACTGACGAGGAACGATGTCTAGCTAACCAAAGAACCGACTCACCAATGTGTTTCTCTTGTTGACGGAACATGTAGGAGTGGCTTCCATCTGAAATTTCATTTCAAAATCGAAGTTAATTGACAGCACTAGATTGGTTGAATATTGAAGAAGAGTCAGATCTTACCAAAGGCTGACATGTACAGCTTGCACCACCTGAATGCCACGCGTTCCGGGGTTGGGACCTGAAGATCACGCAGGCAGATGAACTTCCATATACCGTCATCCATGATAGCACGGCGGAACCATCGGCTTGTGGCTGCCAGCATCACCAGAGATTTTCCATCCAGAAACTTAGCGATCTCTGTCCAAATGTCTTCTTCGAACCTTCTCGTTGAGCATGACAATTACACGTTGTTTAGACAAAAATAGAAACAATAATTAAACAATGCACTAGAAATGGAGGGAAAAAAATTCCACCAATTAATTAAGCTCTCTTACAGATAGAATTTACCGAAAACAACGATTTAAATACTTTCAATATTTATAACTAGAAATGAAAAACAAAGACAAAAAACAGAGATTCATCCATTGATCGTTTCCATGTATTAAAAATAGAAAACGACGATCAGAATAGTTTCAACTTTCTATTTAAGAAATACTGAAAAATTATACACACTTCAGAAGACAGAACAGCGTTCGAAGATTGATTAAGCTGTTGTGCAGTTTATAATCTAAATTTTGGACTATACAGAATCAGAGCTCACGGTGTTATTAACAGAAAATGCGCGTCTCAATATTGAGCAGATAGTTCAGGAACTCATGGAACCGGAAACGTTCTAAACGTTCGGAATGAAGAAAATATCTGAAATCACAAATTAACAGCTACTGAAGCTTTTTCGTTTCCGCTTATGTAAAAAAATTGAACGTGCTATCGAGAGTTCATCCACAAGCAGAGATTCTGTAAGATCGCATTCATAAAAGTCTTGCGAAAATTAAAAATAAAAAATAGTAATAAACAAACACGAGGTCTCCAACAAAATGTATAAATAGATCAGACGCCAGTTCTTTTATGAGTCTCAGAAGAATCAAGCATAGATTCTCTTATTCGTTCAAGCGTAAACAGACAAATCAGAGAGAGATAAACTGAATCACGCGGAGCACAATTCAAAAACCAGATCCAAATGAAAATCCGAACTAGTTCTGATCCGTGACCGATAAATGCACAATTGCATACTAAGCATACGACCGCGTTTAATTAAAAGCAGCATTCACATATATACGAGCAAAGTGCTTGGAATTTAAATAAGTTTCGAGAAGATTTTCAGAGAGAGGGAGAGAACCAAGAGAAAGTGGAATGAGCAGAGAGAAACGGAGGACGAGGAGAGTTGCAAGAGCAAATGGTTTTGCTCCGCCGGATCCGCTTTTCCGGTGGAATCTCTCCGCCGGAGGAGGTAGCGTTGTGGAGGCGCTTTCCCATGCTGCCTCTGGAATCTGAGAGAGCCTTTTTTACTATCTGAAATTCTGAAGCTGAGGCGGGGAAACAACAACGCACTCTCAACTCTCAAACTACACATAACGGTTCATGCGAGTTCAATTCCCTCCTTTTATAGGCGCGCCAAAAGCTCCCATTTCAAACAAAATAATAAAATTAAAACTAACAAGAAATTAAAACCACAATTTGAATATTTATTATAATAAAATAATTTTTTAATGAACCTCTTTTCTTTCTAATTAGAACAGGCGCATGCTTAATTTATCAAAATGCTAGTTAGTTTCTTTGTTTTTGGAATGGATTAACTTTTAGTTATAAAAAAAAGTTTCAATTGATTCACTGAATTTGTTTTGATAATGTAGCATAAGATTAAATTGGTTGAATCATGTAAGATGCTACAGTTTAAATTCTTAAACAACATAAAGCAGTCGAATCAAAATAAGCAAAATGTAACTTGAATTATATAATACTAGTTCACTGGCTATAGATCTTTTTTTTTTTTCATTTTAGGAACTAATATAAATATTTAATAGAACAACTTTAACGTGCAGCATAAATTTAGCTTGCAAATCACACGTACGAAGGTATATTGGTGATAAAAGTTGAGTAATTGGTTGGGCTTTGTACCCGGGTTTAGACTTCAACTTTATAAAAAAAATATTACAACCTAACTCAAAAACCTCATTCTTTGCTTTGAGAGGTAATGTAAAATAAATGCCACACAATAATTCGTGATTACTTTACAAAACAGTGATGTGTTCATTATTGATTGATTATGTATACCAAATCAATGTGTTACTTATTAATTGATTTACTCTTCATAAGAATTTCTCTCCATTCAACCTATCTAAGTTTTGCAATAAGAGCTTATGATACATCTAAATATCAATTCAGATTAAGAACGTAAACAAACAAAATAAACTAAACTTTTATACTTCATTATTTAACTTATTACTACTATGTACCTCCATTTCAAATAGTGTCGTTTTAATAATATATATATATATATATATATAT